AGAGGCGAGAGGCGGAGAGAGAGAGAGGGGGAGAAGGGAGAGAGAGAGAGAGACAGAAAGACAGACAGCACAGAGAGAGACAGAGACAGAGAGAGAGACAGACAGATAAAGAGAGAATTTCACTCAGGCTTACAAACTATACAGTTTCAGTTACAACTACTCAATTCATCCATTGCAGTCATAGATGGCATGTGAATTAAGTTGTGTGTTCCAAATATGTGGATAATAAAAATTTAAATTCTAAATTACAAACACATGTCAAATAATACCTTTAAATTTTTTTCACTCATGTGAAGATGTTATTCCCTTTTGTACTTAACACCATATGCAAAGATGTGCCAGGCAGTACTTAGCCTATGTCAGATTTTGAGTCCTGTGATAGATCATCAACTTTTTGAATACAGACATCATGTTTTAATAATTTTTAAAATCTGGAACACAGCGTGGCATTGGGTACATAAAGAATTCTAAAAATACAAACTTGAAGAATATAGATGTACATAAATCATAGGTGTAACTAGTGGATTATGATCAAAGTTATAAATCTGCGTATAAACTTTAATTCTATTTTAGCCTAACCTCAAAAAGTTCTGAGAGATGATTTTTTGAGAATTAAGCAGCTTAATATTTTTTAACTTGATAAAAATATTATCAAATACTTTAATAATTATAAAGATACTCTTTGTATACTTCTGAATCTTTTAGTCTGGGCTAGAATCAAGCATCTATAATTAAACTAGTTTCTAAGGATAACATAAGATTCTTTTTGGACACACATGATTAAAGCAATAAGTGAACATAAAGAGTTAAGAAATAGCAGTGATGCCTTATGTCCATAAAATTTTATAATTCTTAGCATTTTATAGTGCAAATTAATTACCCAACCATGAGATCAAAGAAACACAATACATCTGAAAATATAAAAATTTCATGTTAAAATAAGGCTAATAAGTGAAATACATTGACCATGCTATCATATATAAGTAGAAACAAAGCCATAGTTTAGAGAAAATAAATGCTGACAGCCTTAAGGCTGCAACATAAACAACCTTATAGACTTTTCTGTTTATACTTTCCTTTTGAAACAGAATTAGAAAGAAATCTAAGCTGATTAGAATTTATTTGATTTACAATTCATAACCATTGGTAATGTTTGGTTTGCTTTATTTCCTTTATTGTATTTACCATTTTGACTTTTCATGTGTTTTCTGTGAGAGAGCAAACATCTGACCAAAAATTGTCCCTTGTGTTTGTATACCAAACTAATTGACAATTAATAATTATAAAATAGTAGTCCCATAGAAGAGGAACTGTGCATTATTTTTTAATTGTCAAATGAGTAATTGTATCAGGTAAGCTCTAGCACTATTTAAAAAGTTTGTTACATTTGTATATAGATAAATGTGCCTACCAACACACTATACTCTGTTGGGTATAAATACATAAGACAATGATTATATAAACAAATAGTTGCATAGTTTAAGTCCAAAATTAAATTTAATTTTTATTGAACATGCTGCTACATTTTAAATAGTATACAAATTGTGCCCTTAACGGTATAAAGAAAAAATCAATTGCTTTAGAGGCCCCATTATGTAAAAAAGGCTTATTTATTAAAGCTTTTAAACAGCTTTTGTCATAGATATTCATATCAGAATAAAATGCTGTTCAATTCTGATATGTGAAACATAAAAAGTCATAGCACGAGTCCTATAAATAAATAGTAGCAAATAAGAAAATAAAAATAAAATATAAAAGTATTAGAATAGCATAAATATCAGAAGTAAAAGATGGGAGAGGATCAAATATGATGCCTAGATAGAAATCAACCAATTACTCAAGATTTTGAAGATTTCATGGGTGGACTCTGAATTAGTTATTAAGACTATAAATTTGTTTGTTTAATTACATTAAAAATAAATCCTCCTCAACAACTCGGGAATTATATAGCAAATAAAAGAAAATTTTGAGGCACTTTAAGCAAACTCATACAAAATATTAAGAGTGGTTTCCACCAAATGCACACGGCTTAAGTTTTAAATACGTATAATTATGTGAAAGTGAGTATGGACATAGTTCATCAACACAGAATAGAGTGGGGGACGAATTGAAGTAAAAGGGATGAATAGGATAAGAGAAAATAACTCAATGCATAAACTGTAAAGGGGACCACTTGAGGCAGGCGGTTGGGGGCAGATGAGATGGGAGTGCAAATAATAGAGGATAAACAAAAACAAAGTATTATCAAAATTCCATAATGAAACCTGTCACCTTTTATGTTAATTTTTAAAAAGTTAAATGAAAGCTGGGAATAGAGACATGACTTATGGCTGGTCCCAACACCCATATCACATATCTCACAACCACCGGTAACTCTAGATCCAGGAGATCTATAGCCTCTCCTGAATTCTGTGCGCAACTGCACTAATATTTGTATGTATACATACATGTATATACATATGTGTATATATGCATATAAGTATATATACATATACGAGTGAAATATACACATACTGCCATAAGTATACATGCATGTAAATAGACGTATACTTACTGAAGTATATGTATATATATTTATATACATGTATATATGCACACATATATACTTAAATACTTATGTGTATCCCACCCCCACATATCTATCTACACATAAATATTAAAAAAAAAACTTTAAAAATGAATGTCACAGAACCCCAGGAGCATGTATAATTCCATCTCATTGATTTTAAGGAAACTAAACAAGAGAGTGATTAAATGACTAACCCCTGCTTCTATATCCAGAATCCCCCAAACTCCTGAAATAACCTTAGCAATAGGAGTGAGTACCTTTTGCTGTCATTACAAAGAGGATCGCCATAGCCTCTGGAGAGTGTTGGTCATCAGAAACACTGAATACTAAGATGTTGAAACTTTCCATCTCACTCATAGATGGGGTGGAGTTTGAGTGCTATGAAATCCATTGAGCATCAAGATTCCCATTGCCCAAAAATTGGTGAATGCATTTGGGTGTTGTAAATGTACTACATCTGAACAAAGCATGGGATTTCTGTTATTGGTCCCTCCTACATACTGAATTATGCCTCCCTTCAAAAAAGCTGCATCTGAGTTGTCTACCTATAAATAAACTTTGTGTGACATTATAGCTAATAATCTTTTGGCCGGGAAAAAGTGAGTGACTCTACAGACTTTTAAGAAAAACAAGATAAAGAATACATAATCTGGGGAACTCAAGATTTATTGATGACATTAGATGTAAAGACAGTCTTGTGGTACTGAGCTTTAAACTTGGACAGTCCGAACAACTTCAAGTCAAAACTGAATTTAATTGAAATGAAAGGCAACCAGTGTATAAAGAACTGAAGAACTAATTAGTGTGAGAAAATAACTTCCACACATGTATCATTAACGTAAATGAATGCAGCACATTTATGGTTACCTTGATGGTCAGTGGAAGAGAGAGAATTAATGGATAACAAGATTATAGTAAACAAGATACTTAATGGTATAAACTATTTCCTTTTAATTAAAATAACACCATATTTGGTTATGAATGAATTTTATGGTATTTTTCTGATGTAAAAATAAATAGTAAAGTGAACATAACAAACCATCATACAAAAACTATGGGTTCATTATAGAAGCTTAATATGATTTAAATAATATCCAAATTCTAAAAAATCAGTAACTTCATATAAAATGTAACCACAACTCTGCAAAGACAGTTTCCAGGTCAATTGCATTCTTTTCAGTTAGTCTCATATTATAAATTGGTCAGATGACCACTTTATGTTAGGTGTCAAGTTATGACACAGAAACTAAATAGATTCATAAGGATGACCTTTTGATTTATACAGTTGAAGTTAACACTATGACAAAACAACTCTTCAGAATGCTTTAAAATGTATTTTATTTATAATCCCAATTATACTACCAATATCAAAAAGGATATTAAAATAGGAAAGCAGTCAATTAAAATATTTTAGGACTTGTTTTAGAAAATTACATTTTCAAAAAGTATACAGTAGTTTTCAGAATTTAGAAATATAGTCTATGGATTAGAAACTTGGCCAAATAAGGATTTGTTTGAAAAATTCTGGGGATATACTGAAGACAAAGCAGCAGCCCACTTTCAATTAGCAACTGTAGAGGAGGGCCCCAGCAATCTGTCTTTGTGCAGGGATTCTTGTGTACTCTATTGTGGACCAAAATTTAAAAATGTATAGAGACAATAATGAATGAAGAAAAGAAAAACCCTGAAAATAATAAGGTAATAGATACAACAGTATACTGGTTTGGAAATAGATGTACATAGTTAATATGAAATACAAATTGAGCCAGAAACATTTATTTGAAAAGGAAAGGAAACCAACTCATAATGATAATATAAGTTTCCACTATATGAGAGCAGTAACTTACATTTGCATTTTTTTAAAACAAATTAAAGGCCCTTTCCCTGTATTCCTCTTGTATTATTTCCCTATTTTTTTTCTGCCTGTGTTAAAGATACTTCTGAGCCATAAACCATGACTATTTCTTACATTGTTTAGATAATTAAATTCTGCATTAAATTTGTCCACATTTAAAATATGGAAAATATGGTGCCTTTTCATCAATTTAGTATAAATATATAGTAATTATTTACTGTACTTTGAGACAAATGACAAAGGTACTTCAAGAAGAGGGAAACAAATCCAATTTTGAGTTGCAATGGCAACAATTTGCTATAACCTCCTGAAGTGTAGCTGCCACCAAACAAATGAAGTACTATTTTCTAGAGCAGAAAAAAGTTCCTCATATTCACCAATTTCAAGATTAAATTTTTTAAAAAGTCAAGAAATATTTTTCAAAAGGTTCTTCTACAACCAAATATTGGTACTGTCATAGCCATGAGTAATAGTTTTGCTTAGAAAAGGCAAAGAAATAATATGAAAATAGTAAACAGAATATAAAATAATGTAACCAGTTTATTCCTTGAATATGAAAAAGACACTCTATCTCACCTCTGGAGTGACATCTCGTGGTGCAAACCCTGTTCCTCCAGTTGTTAATATCAAATTAAGTTCCTTCTCATCACACCAGTCTATGAGAGTTTCCTAAAAGAAAAAACACACACACACACACACAAAAGAACTTACTTGCTTGCTCAAAAACCTAAGTAATCATTACACAGACAGCATGAAAACAGGTAAAGACTTTTAAAGGACAATTTCTGAAAAGTTTCATACTTGATCAATACACAATTCAGTTGGGGATATTTATTTTGTTAATTATAGAAAAGTCGGACACAAGCACCAATCTGACGATAAAGTATCATCAGCAAGGAGTGGCATAGTTTATAATTTGTGTTTGTTATGTACTCATATGGATTAGCTAAAGGTCTTTTTGACATTACACAATATTTTCAAGTTTAAAAGGTTGATAACTATATGCTAATCACAAAATCTTATTACTTGACAACATGAATCCTAGCACCTAAATATTCATACCTTAATTAAAAATTCAAGAAAATAGTCTCATACTTTTTTCTATTATGAATTCAAAGAGAGGAAAAATGTTCATAGGTTCATGAACTAGAAAGAAAAGAACTGGAATTCAAATTACACTTTGTAGAATCTCAATTATGTTTATATTCTACCCATTAAAGAACAAATATTTTATGGTCAATTGGAGGTAAGAAAAGTTTTGCACTTTTCAATATTAATTTTACAAGAATTTCTTAAAAAGTAGAGATTAAATAATACTTGGGTCTCACTTCTAGAGTACAATATGTGTTAGAATAAACCCAGGACAGGAAAAAAATCCTGAATAATAAAAGAACTATTGGATACATTACCATCCCTGACTTCAAATTGTACTACAGAGCTATAGTAATAAAAACAGCATGGTAATGGCACAAAGACAGACATATTGACCAAGAGAACAGAGTTAAGAAGAAGCAGATACGAAACCACAAACCTATTGTTTCATGGAATGCATTTGTTCAGTCTCATCACTAGAAAACAGTGCAAAGACTTAAATAAAAGTCTTTGTCTAAAATGTCTATTCAAAATGGATAACCTATAAGTATGTTGTTTTCTAGAATTACTATTGAAAGTATCATTGTAATATTTGTATGACTATGATCTGGGATCTTGTTTGGAATAAAGAATTTCTCTGTTCTTTACAAATTCCTATGGAATTAGAACTTTTAGAGATTCCTTAAAGTGTTGTATATGTCTACTTAAGTATATGAAGTATACCTTCCGACTATATATTACCATATATTTTCAGTTACTTTTCTATCATGCTTAAGAATAAATTTAAGTAATCATTTATCTTAACAATTTATCATATTTAACTTAGTAATTTGTGGTATCTTAGAAAGTAATTTATCCTGCTACATTCTCTTTTTGCACCTGTAAAATACCTTTCATTCTTAAACAGGCATTAGTAATTTGATGTTTCAAATTTTCAATTTTTATTCCTGAAGTTATAAGAAGAAAGCAGATAGCCTCTTCTTTTTTTCTTCTCATTCCATTTTATTTCAGCGGTTTTACTCTCTGAACTATTTGGTCACTCAGTATAAAACATAGATCAATTTACATAATACAGCGGGAATTGGAAGTAGCTAATGCAAAAAAAGAATGTAATAATGCAAACTATGAAATAATTGTACATGTATTCAATTGATGCATTTATGTATACCAGAAAACCTACTGGATAAGAAAACAAAGCAATAACACCAAAAACAGTGACTTATTATGTCTCACAAACTTTTTGTTTTCTGGCTCAGCCTGGTACGTTTGCCTTAGAATTGGGGGGGGGGGTCACCTCTGTGACTGAAATAATACAGGTTGAACTGCAGCAGAAGGAGTTTAGGTAGTCTGAACTAAATGTCTGAGGGTTTGGTGTAAATCCCTAGGCTTTTTATCTCCATGTGGTTTCTGACAATTCTTTACCTAGCCTATATTTCCTAACATTATGGTACAAGGTTTTGAAAAAAGAGAAAACTGACACCTAGCCATTGGAACTTACATTTTATGAATTTCTGCTTCATTCTACTAGATAAAGGAAGATATAATGGTAAGGTTCTGAGAACAGAGTTTACCTTTTGCTTTGAGTAGTTATTG